AGTTCCTTTTGCATGGTTTCTATCCAGAATTCATCTCTTAGTGCTTCATCAATATTCTTTGTTTCAAACCTGGAGGTAAAACAAAAATCTTCTTCGGCCATTTTGAGGTAATCTTGTTTATTTCCCCTAGTTTTGATTCCTTGATTGAGATCCCCTATGATATTTTCCAGAGGAGGATTTTTCTCAATAGATTGCCTTTTATCCTTTTCTTCATCTGGTTTTGTTTCTATTTTATGATTCTGCATAACAATAGTCAGAGGTGTTGGAACAGTTGTTTCAACAACTCTGGGACTTTCGTCATCATTAGTGGTTATTATTGAAATTGTGCCATCAATAACCTTATTCATGGATTCCATTGTATTGTTTATACTGAAAGCCCTACTGTTTGATGAATAATCTGAATAACTTAGGGATATTCCTTGGTCCCCTTTGATGTCATGGGAATTTATATGTCCCATATGTTGGTGCCGTGATTGTTTTTGCTTGATAGTTGTCTGTAAACCAGATAGGTCACCATCCCATGTATAGCATTTGTTTGCAGACCTTTTTCCCATCATGACATACTTGTGATTCTGATTAAACACAATGCAATTGTTTTTAGAGAATTCTACTTTGAGTTTATCTTCACAAAGCTGACTTATGCTGATTAGATTTGCTTTTAGACTTTGTACTAGGAGGACTTTTGACAACCTAGGCACCCCATGGACATTCAAGATGCCGCTTGCAATGATATGGCCTTTTCCTCCATCTCCAAAGGTAACATGTCCTTCATTCTGATACTGAATGTTTTCTAGGTTTTCTGGATTTCCAGTCATATGCCTTGAACACCCGCTGTCAAAATACCATACGTTTTGTTCTTTGCTAGTTTTTGAGGTGTAGGCAACATTCTGATCTTTTCTTACCCAGATTTTCTTGCTGTTATTTTTGCTTTGTACTGCCCAATCTCTGTTGTTTTGTCTATAATAGAGATCATTTTGTCTTTTGAAGCAATATGCCTTTATATGTCCCAATCTGTGGCAGTAATAGCATCTGATTCTCCTTCGTTGTTGAAAGTGATGTTGTGACATCTCTGGGTTTTCTGTATGTCTGTTGTCAGTGTTTTCTGTTTTCTGCATATTTTCTTCAAGGGACTGTATTTTCCTTGTTAATTCCTCTTCCTTTTTCTGGAATCTTTTTATTTCTTCCTTTGTTTCCAGATGTTCCCGGAATTCTCTCTCTTTTTCAATTTGTAAGTCACGATTCTTTTGCATGAGTTCTGTATTAACTCTGATGAGTTCATGCCACTTTGATTGCAGTAGTGTGTATGCTTCAAATAGCTCTTGTGTGTCCTCTTGAGAGGTATTTTCTTCTTCGTGCCTGGTAGTGAAAGCAACAAAGTTGGAATTTTCATCTTCACTATCGGAATCGTCATTAAGTGTTGTGACATAGGTTTTATTCTTCCTTTTCAAGTATGTTGGACATTCTGATTGGATATGTCTGTACCCTTTGCATTCGAAGCACTGTATCCCCTCGGTATTTTGAGGCTTCTCCTTTTTTTGTGTTTTCGAATGTGCGTGACTGTGAACTTGTGTTGTTTCCATTATTATTTGAGAAGTTCTTGTTTTTATTTCTGAATTTGTTGAACTTCTTGACCATTTTATTGAAATTCTTGGTGAGCAAGACAATAGACTCTTCCATGCTTTGTGTGTCCTCATTTGAATCTGCACTTTGCTTGGATTGAAAAACCAAACTTTTGTATGAATCATTTGGTTTTCTTTGAAGCATCTCCAGTTCGTATGTCTGGAGATTTCCCATTAGGTCACTTAGTTTGTATGTGTTCAGATTTGTGCTTTCCTGAATGGCTGTGACTTTCATGAGAAATCTTTCAGGTAGTGATCTGAGTACCTTTTTAACCAATTTTGATTCGGGAAAAGGTTCTCCTAGATTGTATGCAGCTCCAGCTATATCTAGGATTTTTGCATTGAATTGTGTGATGTTTTCGTCTTCTTCCATCTTTAGAGTTTCGAATTGTGTTTGAATCATCTGTAGTTTTGATTGTTTGACAATGGTGTTACCTTCGTGATGATTGCATAAGATTTCCCAAGCTGTTTTGGCAATTTCAGTGTTAGAAATCAATTTAAAAGTTTCTTCACTCGTTGCCCCATATATAGAGTTCATGGCTTTTGAATTGTAGTTTGCTTCTCTGATTTCAGCCTCAGACCATTCCCTTTTTAGTTTCTTTTCTCCTCTTTCATTAGTAGGTGGTTCCCAGCCTTCTTCTACTGCTCTCCACACTCTCTCACCTTGGGACATGATGTAAACTCTCATCCTAGTCTTCCAATAGGAATAATTTTCACTATTCAGAGCTGGGGGTCTGCTATTCGATAAACCTTCTCTGGGAAAATCCATTGTGTCGTTCCTTTGGATGGTGTAGGATCCTGCTAGTAATTTTAGCAGCCTGCTCTGATACCAATTGTAGAATTTTAAGGATCGACACACACAGTGATGTTGAAACGTAAGTTGTAACACAAACGATCTGTAACGCAGTTCGGGCAAACAACCCTAATCTGCGAGGCACTTCTCAATTTGAGAACTTGCCTAAATCCACTAAAAGCTCAATATTTAAAGTACACTGTTTGGAACCTGAGATTACACAATAGAATGATCTTTCCTACCAGACTATTGAAACCTAAACACATGTACTACTTTCTAGGGGAATTTAGTATCCTATTCTCAAATACTCTCGTACCTCACAAGATTAATGTTGAATGCTTGCCTTCTACAATAAAGGACAACCCTTATTTATAGTAGCTACTCCTAACAAATTCGTGAATAACAAAGCTATTCCTAATCAGACTAGAACTAAAAAAACTTCAATAACAATTCCCTTTAGAACTAGTATTCTTCAATAACTACTCCTCTTAGGCTTGGTATTCCTTTATAGAGTTGGAATTCTTTTTGCACATAACTTTGACAAAACACTTTGAGTCAACATGCTCTTCTTCTAGCTGTTGCCGTCGACGAGGAGAAGAACCATGGAGTCGTCGCCGGTACCCTAAGTAATCGTTGCAAGAAAGCGGTAGAATTTGGGGGAAGCAGTAAATTTGGTTTTCCGGAAGCTTTGACTTTTATCTCATAAAAAAACCCATGCAATAGCTTATAAAAGCAGCCAACCAAATAAAACTGCCAAACAAACACAAAAATCTCATTTCATGAACAAAAATAACAAGGCCATTTAAGCTCACCAGCAAAAAGCACCTCGATTCCGACTCGAAAAACCTAAAACCAAGCGGCAAATCACCACCGGGGAGATACACACGTGTATATATGAATAATAGATACACGACGTGAGTACAGATAGAGAGAAAGTGAAGAAAGCAATAGAATTTGAGGGAAGAAAATAGTATAATTTATCAGTAATCACAGAAATTAAAGCATAGTATCCGAGAAAAATATCTGTTTTCGTAGGATATGGAGAATAGGATCCAAGATCAAAGGGTTCTTGTGTGGCTGAATTGGCAGAGGAAGGAGATATTGTTGGGAGCTGACCAGTATAAAGGGATGTATGTACAATTGAGAATGAAAGAATGAACTCAACCCGGAGCAATTCCGGAGGCGGTGGCCTGATAGTTTCTTCTCCGAGCATCAACTCCGATCGATAGCAGCTTTCGTTCAGCGGCGACTATCGTAATAATCTGGACGACGTCAGCCAGTGGAGGTTGGGGATGGTGTAGAGGCGGTGCCTGATGGTGTTGAGGTGGCGGTCGACGGCTAGGCGAAGGAGGGTGTCCGAAGCAGTCCGCGGCGTTGGTCTAGCAGAGGGAAGACGGAGTACGTAGTACTGTGGTAGAACAACTAGGCTAGGGATTGAATTTTTTATTAATTAAAAAAATAACCCAAAACTTTTCAAAAACTTCAATTTGGGACAAATTAATAAAAACAAACTCCATGTCAGATAAATACCAGTGCCATGTCATCAAGGATACCTGGAAACCTACAAAAAGTTCTAGGCGGACAAAATTTTTTAGTTTGTGCACCAAATAATCACTAATATAAGATTAAGGTGCGGCATGCCATTTCGCTATTGGTTCATGGTCCTATTTGACACTTCACACAAAGTTTTATAAAATTTCAATTAGTGATTAATGGCTTCAAAACTATTGATTAATTAAAGGGAAAATCAACGATTTGATCCCTCAATTATTAGCAAAATATCAATGTAGTTCCTCAATCGCTTATTCATCGATTTAGTCCCTGAAAATAACTGTTTTTAGTTGATTTAGTTCCTCCGGCCGTATTCTGTCGTTCAGGGACTAAATCGATGAATAAGCGATTGAGGGACTACATTGATATTTCGCTAATAATTGAGGGATCAAATCGTTGATTTTCCCTTAATTAAAATTTTAAATAAAAAAAAATTCCTAAAACTAAAATAAAATTGTAGGCTCTAGTTAAATACTGTATAATCCTTCGCCCTTCAGCCCTGCGACTCGGCTGTCTCTCTGTCTCGCCACCGCGATTCTCCAGTCTCAACCTGCGGCCGGCCTTAGTCTTCTCCGTATGGCAAATTATTGTGTGGACCATGGTCCACACAATGTTATGTGGACCATAATATAAAGTACATTTTTAATATACTAAATGTACATTATTTTTGTACTGAATGTACATTATACAATATAATGTACACTCAGTACAAAAATAATGTACATCCCCTGAATACAATGTACATTATTTTTGTGTTGAATGTACATTATTTTTGTACTGAATGTACATTATTTTATAGTATACAAAATATGGTCTACACAACTTGTATGAACCATGGTCCACACAATAATGATTGTCTCCGTATGGCATCTGCTACTCTGCTCCACGGCTAACCCAAGATTTCCTAACCCGCAAAGGCCCAAACCAAACATCAGAGGAGAGGGTTTCTACTCTGTCACTTTTCCCTCAATCTTTGTTTTCTCCCCAACTCTTAGCTTCCTAATTTCGTTTTATTTACGGAATACTAAATTTACAGTTGAAGAATAGAATGATTTTAGCTTTTGATTTCGAGTGACCCATCAATTTAATGGCTGGACGTCGGCTAATCAAAGCCACCATAGCGGATGCAAGTAAGGATTTAATAAGTCCTCTCCCGGTAGAGGTAAAGCACAGAATTTTGGAGTGTTTGCCCATCAGAGACGCTGCCAGAACTGCTCTACTCTCAACCCACTGGAAAGATGTTTGGTTGCAGCATGGGAGGCTTGCGTTCGATTGGGACTTCACATTAAGTGTCGAAGAGGGTCACGATGATGAAGGCAGAACTCTGGTTGACATAATAAATAATATTCTCCTTTCCCGTGCTGGACCCGTTAAGAAATTTACTCTACTGATTGCAAAGCGCGGCAGTCTGATTTCGATAGGTGGTGTCTTTTTCTATCATGAAATGGTGTGGAAGAGCTTAACATATTTCTTTTAAATTGTGGAGAGGCTGAATATAAGCAGCTGCCATTTTGTATACTCTCGTGCCCCACAATTAAGCAACTGAGTGTCCGAGGTCCCTTTATTGATTTGCCGGTAAATAATGTTTGGTGGTATATTTTCCAATGTCACTTCATTATCTTTTTCGTGGGTTGAATTTAGACGCACTGTTAATGGAATGGAACTGCCTCTAGTATTAGTATTCCTAACCTTGAGAGGCTGAATTTCTTAGATTGTTTAGGGATTACTAAATTTGAGATCAGCGCTTCAAAACTTGAAATGTTGTCTGTTCGTCATTCTGTGTGTAATGTGGTTGAATCAAGATGGTTGACACCTCATTTGAAAACAATTAAGGCTCTTTGGTTGTGTGGCTCTTCCTTGCCGGTGAGAATCTAATCTGCCTCATTTTACTTTATGCAAAATGGACAGATTTAATTTAATTAGTTTCCTTCTGGCTTAATTGTTAAAGTTCTTAATTGTCTGCCTAATTTTTTTCTTTCTTTATTACCATGTTTCAAGTATATGGACGCATCTTTGTTTGCAACTGCAATAAATCTCCAAGTACTGGGGTTGTATGAATTAAGTTTTGGTTGTGAGAAGCAGCTCACCGATGCTATGCAATTGCTTCAAAAATGCCCCAACCTATGTGAACTGAGAATTATGGCTCATCAAGTTGAGTATACATTTAATTTGGCAATCATGCCTATATGATTCTTTTGTTTTTTCTTTGTCTAATGTCCTCAGAGTTGTGCATGTCTTTCATTTCTTCTTGAGTTATAGAATGTATGCAAACGTGATAAAGAAGCTGCTTCAAGACTTTTGGAAGATCCAAATGGTTTCTTTATTGTTCAGGATCTAAAGATGCTTAACACAATCAAGATTGAATCATTTTGTGGATCCACAGTGGAAAATGCTTTTGTAAAAATGCTGCTCTCAAAATCCCCGCACTAGAGAAACTTGTTATTATGGAATCTCTTTATATTTACACATCTGTAACTATGAAAAGTCTAAGGGAATTGTTGCGTTTTCCTCGTGCATCTACAAAAGCCCAAATTGTTTGCATGGAATACAACAACTCCATGTTTGGTTGGACCACGGGCAGATTGAGGTCAATCATGACTTGGTAGAGTGTGCATAAAGATGCAAAGGTGATAAAAGTGTAGCTCTCGATCTCTTGTGCCATGCTAGCTGCCGTGTTAAGTAATTTATATTACTCTATGCACTAAATGTGGAGTAAGAAACTGGATCTTATAGAGTATATATTTGGCAATTATGATTTTCTTTTTTTCTTAATTTCCCCATGGTTGTACTTAATTTTCATTTCTAATGAGATAAGACTTTTGAAGGATCTTATTGATCAAGATCTAAAAATGCTTAACACATTGAAGATTGAACTGTTTTAGGGCATCCACTCTATAAATTATTTTGTGAAAATGCTGCTCTTTAAATTACACACTTTCAAGTAGTAATGGCAAATTTTCCGTAAATCAAAGTAGTAAAGGAAGGCTTGCACATAGGAAAAGCAACCACATATAGTAATGTTGACATACTTTATATATCCTAATAGTTTGGGTATCTACCCACACTCTACACCTAGAGCTCCAGCCCACGAAGATTATGAGCATTCGAAATTGCATAAGGGAAGCGCAACAATTGTCAATGAATTCCACCCACTGTGCAAACTAACTTTCATATTCTCATATTTTTGAATAACAAGTCTCTTTAGGGTAGGGGATTTCAAGAGCAACATTCTAAAAAAAAAACATTTTGCGTGCTGTGTAGATCCACTAAATGAATCAATCTATTGTTGGAAAAAAATAGCTTAAAATGGCATAAAATGGCATGTGAAGTGGCTATTTTGTGGTACAATTATCAGTGGGGTCCACTTCCGATTTGGGTCGGGTCAAAATGGATTCGGATTCTTCGTAGTGAGACGAAGAGATCGATATATTGTACGCTCAAAACGGATAATGGGTGAATGAGATATTGATTCTCAAAGTAGACCCATTTGAGTTGGAAAATGAAGGGAAAAAGTGAGCTTTTGTCCCACATTGCTTTGGAATGAAGATTTTCCCTCCTTATATACAAGAGCTCTTTTGAAGCTTGTAGAATTGTATAGCATAGAGGTTCTCTCGCGCGGGGGGGGGGGGGGGGGGGGGGCGGGGGGTGCAAATCAAATTCCAATCTAGCAGAGATTGAAAAGGCTTGATTCAAGCCCGAGCTCGTGTGCGCCGGCACGAATGCCGTCCGGAAATTGGCTGGCCTTGCGGGCTAAGTTATGCCAAACTTCGGAATAAATTTTCCAACACAAGCCACTGGGTGTGGCCGAAACCTCCCAGGTTTCGGCCTAACTACCCAATTGGCCGAAACTAGGTAGTTGCCATAGTTTCGGCCACTTGGGCCGAAACATGTAGTTTCGGCCACTTGGGACCCATGGCCGAAACTTCCAGTTTCGGCCTGGGGTCGAAACTGGAAGTTTCGGCCTACACGAACCTGTACAGTTTCTGACCGTTGGCTCTTCAATTCTACTGTTACGGAATTAATTTTCTGAGTTAATTCTAATTTTAAATTTTGAATTGAAGGTCATGCTAATGGTGCTGTTACGGGAAGGTGAAGGGGTGCCCTTAAGTGCCTAATTAAAAGCTATTAAATCCTTCACCCCTATAAAAAGAGGAGTTGGGCAGTAGAGTTTTACACAGAAAATATAGAACACGAAAGTTCATCTTTTAGCCTCAAAACCTCTCTGCTTCTACTCTTTCTTTAAGCCATACTGTGTTCATAGCCATTGTCTTGCTCGCCGGATCCTTTGTTTGAATGCTCAAACATTGGATCATAGCAAGTTTTATCCTGGGAAGCATAGGCCACAACGCTCCTAGCATCTACGGGAGGTGGCAAATAAGGTTTTAAGGAAAGAGTGCACACTTGACTCTTGCAAAACCCAACACCAAACACTAGCCAATTTTCTTCAAATTTTTCTTCCCTTCTTTCCAGAAAATAATAGTCAATTTTTTATTTGATTATTATTTTTTCTCTACCAACGGTTCCTACAGTCTTAAAACCTTATTTCTTGTTTTCCCGTTGGTTGTTTTCTCGAATTTCCTTGAAGAAATGGAGAACCCCGAGTTGCCAATCGTTAACAATGGGGAAGAAAATGTTGTTGAGAACAACAATGGAGGAAACGGCAACAATGTTGCTAATTCCCAAGCTACACCAGTGAACGTTGGTTCACAAGATGGTGGGAGCACTGAGGGATATATTCCCATGTCTCGGGTACCTTCGGTACCGAGTGGTTCGGCTGAAAAGCCGGAGAAGTTCACCGCTGTTGGTTCGAACGAAACTTCAAGAGGTGGCAACAGAAGATGTTGTTCTACCTAGCAACTCTCGGCCTGGCAAGGTTCTTGTCCGAGAGTGTTCCCGAGTTGAAGGAACAAGATGCACAATCCGTGATGGCAGTTGGCTATTGGAAGGATTCGGACTTCCTTTGCCGAAACTACATCCTGAACGGATTGTGTGACACGCTATATGATGTATATCGAAAGATAAGCACATCAAAAGCGTTGTGGGAAGCTTTGGATCATAAATACCAAAGTGAGGATGCTGGCTCAAAGAAATTTGTAGTTGGCCGATTCCTCGACTTCAAAATGGTTGATTCAAAGACCGTGCTAAGTCAGGTAGAAGATTTGCAGTTAATCTTTGATGAGATCCGTGACGAGGGCATGGTGCTAAGTGAAGCCTTCCAAGTGGGATCTGTGATCCATTTGTTGCCTCCAGGGTGGAAGGACTTCAAGAACTACCTTAAGCATAAGCGAAAGGAGATGAATCTGGAGGACCTGATCCAGCGACTCAGGATTGAGGAAGGGAACAGGACGAATGATAGGAAAGTTCCTATCGTTGTTGGCGCTAAGGCCAACGTTGTGGAGCACGGTAAGAGCTCAAAGAGGAACAAGAAGGACAAGCGAAAGCTAGGTCCGAAAGGTGGCGTTAACAAGAACAAGTTTCCTGGTGAATGCTACAATTGTGGCAAGCATGGCCACAGAGCATCTGAATGCAAGGCTCCAAGGAAGAAGAACAAGAGTTCTGAAGCCAATGTTGTTGGAGATAGCAGTCAGAAGGAGGTCGAGATTAGTCTTTCAGCTATGGTGACCGAGGTGAACCTCGTGGGCTCAAACCCTCGTGAGTGGTTCATTGATACCGGTGCAACCAGGCACTTGTGTTGCAACCGAGAGATGTTCAACACCTTTGAGACCGTTGAAGGTGAAAAGGTGTGGATCGGAAACTCTGCTCAGTCTGCTGTGGAAGGCATGGGCAAGGTGGTTCTGAAGATGACTTCCGGGAAGGAACTGACGTTGAACAACATGCTGTATGTTCCTGAGCTGAGGAAGAATCTTGTGTCTGGCTCTCTGTTGAACAAGCATGGCTTTCGCATGGTGTTCGAGTCAGACAAAGTAGTTTTGTCCAAGTTAGGAATGTTTGTTGGTAAAGGATATGTAACTGATGGGCTGTTTAAGCTCAGTGTAATTCCTGTTATCAATAAAAGCAAAGTTAATTCTGTTTACTTGCTTGAGTCTTCCAATTTATGGCATGGTAGACTAGGTCATGTTAATTTTAATTCTATGCGTAGATTAATTAGCATGGACCATATTCCTAACTTTCAAATTGACACAAATAACAAGTGTGAAATTTGTGTTGAGGCAAAACTAACAAAAGTACCTTTCAAATCGGTTGAAAGGGAAACTGAACCACTAGAATTAATCCATAGTGATTTGTGCGATTTTAGATCGATACAAACGAGAGGTGGTAATAAGTATTTTATCACATTTATCGACGATAGCACACGATACTGCTATGTGTATTTTCTTAAGAGCAAAGATGAAGCCGTTGATAAATTCGTTCTTTATAAGAATGAAGTGGAAAACCAACTTAATCGGAGAATTAAGAAGGTTAGAAGCGATAGAGGTGGTGAGTACGAAGCACCTATTGGTGACTTCTGTGCGAGTGTAGGTATAATACACGAGCGTACTGCACCTTACTCACCTCAATCGAACGGTGTTGCCGAACGAAAGAATCGTACATTGAAAGATATGATGAATGCGATGCTTATAAGTTCGGGCCTACCTCAAGATGCGTGGGGTGAGGCGATTTTGACAAGTAACTACATTTTGAATAAGGTACCCCGAAAGAAGCTCGATAAGACTCCTTATGAGCTGTGGAACGGTAGGAAACCTTCCTACCAGTACCTGAAAGTGTGGGGGTGTCTTGCCAAAGTTTTGGTGCCAACACCTAAGAAAGTAAAGATAGGTCCTAAGACGGTGGACTGTATCTTTATTGGCTATGCACATAATAGTAGTGCTTATCGGTTCTTAGTACACGAGTCCAATAATCCGGATGTACACGAGAACACGATAATAGAATCAAGGAATGCATATTTTTTCGAAAATATATTTCCTTGTACGTCCAACAAGGGACCAAGTACGTCAAAACGAACGTTTGACGAAACTATGGATAATGATAGTGGGGAATCGGAGAGAGAACCCGAGCTCGAGCCGAGACGCAGTAAGCGGGTGAGAGTTGGAAAATCATTCGGTCCTGATTTTCTAACTTACTTGTTAAAGTACGATTCGGGTACTCTAACTTGTTTATTAGAAAATGAACCCGATTTTCTATCTTGTTTGATAGAGAACGAGCCTCGAACGTATGTAGAAGCCGTGACTTCTACGGAAGGACCAATGTGGAAAGAGGCTATAAAAAGTGAAGTGGATTCTATTCTACAGAATCACACTTGGGAACTGGTTGATCTTCCTCCGGGTAGTAAACCCTTAGGATCCAAGTGGGTCTTTAAAAGGAAGATGAAACCGGACGGTTCCATCGAGAAGTATAAGGCTGGGCTTGTAATCAAGGGTTACAGGCAACGCGAGGGCCTCGATTACTTCGACACGTATTCTCCCGTGACG